AACCGATAGGGAAGTACTGATCTGAGGACGAGCTCCTGGAGACAGTTTGTTCGTCAACGGTCTTTAGTTCAAGAAAAGCCGAGGTCCTGAATTCGTAAACACTTACCGATAGTAGAATCTCTGATATCACCTTAATTAGTGTATTGTAAATTCGAGTAGTGGAAATGTGATGAGTCGTGGAAACGTGTCTGACTTCGTAACACGTACACGGAGTCACATGTTGCCGAGACGATTAGTCCTAGTAAGACTGGTGCACACTAACCAGCTGTGTGTGTACAAAATTAGTACATGAACACTTTTTTTTACCATATAGCCTCTAAGGAGAAGAGGCACCTTTGGATCATGAAAGACAATTTGCTCCCAATTAGCCCTACCCATCACAAACCATATAATTATATATATACATATAAATTATTCTGCAAAAGACAAAGTTATCTTCCAAACATTTCAACCTGACAAATGTGAAACGGTCAGAACATCATCCTTCTTGCATAGATCTCTTGCTATCGTTGTGTCAAACTCATCTGCTGAGTTAGGTATATCGCATGGGCTCGCTCTGAACGCTCCATTTTGTATATGAAACACTCCAGTATTTAGTACCACGGAACCAATGAAAAGATCCCTTGGTCCAATGTAACTTGGAAATCATATAAGATTGTGACCACTGTTGAGAAGACGACTACGGTAATAAAGTTGTTATTATCACAAGTAATAAAGCCGTCTTAAGCAAACAGAGGTAATATGTCAGTGAAATTACTCGTACCGTTACAGATGACAAAATGTTTTACAGTACATCTAAAAACGTATATTTGCATTCCGATTTTCGAAAAGATTTATTCATCAACATCATCATCATCATCATCCCCATCATCATCGTCATCATCGTCGTCATCATCATCATCATCATCGTGAACAGCATGACATTAGTGTTCAACACCGATCCTTCGCTTATTTATCAATAAGCTGCTTTTGTAGTCATGCATGGTATCACTCTTCTTTCTTCTGACTCTCATCGTAAACAAAACAGTGTCATACAGGAACAGCGATCCAGACCTCAGTCTGATCCGCCTTTGCTCACGTGTTCCCCGGTCGATAACTTCTGAATCACCTGCAAAGTTTTCTTTACAAGCAAAAAGGAACTAGCAGTATAATCTGGGAGAAACAGCTTTAGTACGGCCACACATCCAGTTTCTTGCTCGTATTACCAGTGTAACGGTGGATACTACTGATGAGGCATGCGAGTAATGTGTTTTCTCGTAACTCCGCATTGCGTCTATTGAAAAGTGGGAGTTATTACGAGATATGTGGAATTTATTGTTAGCATTTAGGCGATAGTGAGTGATTATCCAGTAAAGTTCAAGAAAAGGACGGATACTCGGTATTTAGAAACAAGATGGAAATGAGAGTTTTGCTTCCCTGTCCAATAATCCGTAACTGTTCAGTCCGCAGTGAATATCTTTCATCAGTATTCTCAGGTCTTCCAATGCAAGTGGTCAGAGTGGTCTGCACCACAGGTTCAGGTTAGGATCAAATCTTAGGGCTGAGTTTTACAGGTCCTTGCCCCGCTAAATAGAGGGGAATGATACGCGATCACCCAGTATGCACTGCAGTTCAACAAACGCACATGTAAGCATCCAGCACTTCATTGGGAGAAACGTTAACAAATCCGCTCGAAGGTATCGAACAGTATTCAGAGCGTTTTACCTTGGTTTTAAGAAAATCTTCAAAAATCGGGCAATCAGGGAGTGGTCCGACAATCATTCTATACCCATCATGATCCTTAGAAAGAACCTGGAAATTGTCAGCGAGCTGACTATCCGCCGGTGTTAGGGTTTCCAACATGCTTCGAAGCACATGGAAAACTTGCAAAAATCATTTGAATTCAGTTAGTTGGTGCACAGAAGTAAGGCCATCGATCTCCTGATGTTTGGGTAAGGAAAGTGATCATGTTATCAAAACATCAGGTTACAAAACTCTGCTACATCTACCTGCTAAGTGGGTGGGACGACATACAGAATCGCTATTCCTGGTGTGGTCCTATCTGCCTTGGGAGTATTCCGCATCGACCTTCAGACACTGATCTTTTGGGGTTCTAATTTCAGATGCGTCTCTTGTTTTCATTGGAGTCATACTCAAAGGTAGTTCGTTTGTTTTTTGTCGGGTGTGACACTTACTATTCGTTCATTGTTGTCGAGCTTATTCATCTAGCCTTGTCTTGATTCTGAGTACTCTAATATGAACGTCAGATGTCAATTAGACGAAGAATTTTCAAGGTGGATATGTCCTTGTCGTGGTTTGGATGTGCTAACCTCAAGAAATCACAGCCAAATCGAGTTTCTGGTCAATGATCGTCCAACCAATGAAAGCCTGCACATGGTCACATAACCGCGTGGCTGAAAGTGGAGGTGAGTGCACCTGAGAATGTAAGAATGAGCTACGACGCCGATTAATCTCTGACGACGTGGCATCTTCCTCCAAATGTCAGCTTGATCCCTCGCCTGCACAAGTGTGGAACCATGCATATGTTACTCGAGATAACCCATGGGTAGACTGTTAATTTACTTGGCAATATTCCATCGACTTACGTTGCTGTCATTCATAGGATGAGATGATCGGCAAATAGGGGAAACGTCCCGCAATTCCGGCGGTTTACGTTTAGCAAACTGGCAGGTGTGAGTAGGCTGACGACCCGAAATTGCACCAATGGATGGACCGGTGCGCGTGGTCATTAAACTGTCACCCAAACAATCATATGGCTAATCTCTCTGTCCTAGTACTGACGAACGCGCTCAGGATTAAACCACAGTTTTTCCTGTAAACTATTCTAATTTAGCTCCAAGACCTTGCTGATAATTTATGGGCGGATGCGTTTCGGGAAGGGGGGCTTCAGTGAGTACATATTTTGAAAAGATAGGGAAGACATTTAATGAATGACAAGCGCGGAAATAAGGTGATTAGGTTCGCCTTAACTTGGGGAGGCAAGCTACCCTCCAAAGTGTACTGTGCAATCGACAAATACACTCAGTGGGTAAGCTTGCGACTGAATCTTTGAAGCAGTTCATGTAAAGGGGCACATTAATCCCACCGGACAGGGGTAATGCAAGACCCTTCGCAGTAAAAGATGCAAAATATCCCCACGACGAGAGGATAGACCGGGGGTGTTTTTCTAGAGAAAAACAATGAAGCCTATGGATATATTTGAAAAAAATCGGGTACGGAGAAAAAATGTGCATATACGTTTGCTCACAGGGATAGCCTTTCTCGACGATAGGCCCAAAAGTAATCATCGATGGCTGTTGAGGCCGGTTGAACTAAATGCTGCTGAAGGACGGATGAGCAGAAGAGTCTCCGGTTTGGAGCATCGTTCAATTGAAATTTATCGTGACAGTTCTTCCACTTATTTTTTAACACAAGGGTATACGTGTTCACTGTAGGTTTTCGGGATCTCGTCATCAGATCAGTACAAATGTACCGCGGTCTTGGTTTACGGTCAATCAACCCGTCGCTCATCTTAAGCCTCGAAGATAATAGTCCAGTCTTTGTCCAAATTTTGGTTGTATTTTCCTTCTCTTGGTGTTGATCAACGAAATTTGTTGGGCACACGACACGGCAACTTGCAAAGAGTATATGTGAGCGCCACTTTTATTAGAACTTCACAGATCTCAACGGTTCAGTCTAAACCTTAATCATGCCACATCATTAACGCCGGTCACGTGATCAATCCGAACGAGGCTTTTCACGTTATCTACTGTGGAGACGGTTAGTAGCCATGACACGATGAAACCCGGTACTATAGTGCCGAAAACTGTCCGTACGTGCGCTGCGTCTGCCTTGGTCATGTGACATGAATCGATCGACCCAGTCGCTCAACAACCCTCTAAGCTTTCCCATTACATTCTACAAGGGGTACACTGACAACCAACCATTGGTTTCCGCGTTCTCTAATTTAGTTACCAATCTTCACTGTTTATTCTCTTGATGTGAATCCCGTGATCCACAAATATGCATTACTAAGCTCAATCCAAGTGTGACTTACACTGCAGATCAGCTGTTCCTTACCGAACGCCTCCGTCTTTAGCCGCTAACCTGAAGGTAGGAAGTCCAAATGTTTCTGAGGATTCGTTGGATGTTCGAGAATCCTGATCTACAACAGCTGTATGGTGATTCTGGGCTTTTCAGCTTCCTTGAGTATTAAAGACCTCAATTGAAAATAACACCGTTAGTTTCAAGGAGAAGTTCCACTTCAAGTTGTTTCACGGTAGCGCTTGTTTTTTTGTTTATTATTCCGAAAGAGCAATTCCCATGTAGCAAGCCTGGTTCCAGAAACATATGCATTACTTGGTAACATCAAATTGTATGCTTATAAGGAATTCATAATAAAACAGTTGCGCTTGTTTTTTGTTTATTATTCCGAAAGAGCATTTTCGCTGTAGCATGTCTGGTTCCAGAAACATATGCATTACATGGTAACATCAGACTGTATGCTTATAAGGAATTCATAATAAAACTGCTGATAACTGGAATGTACAAAATGCATGGGGGGACAAATGAGCATTCCAAAGACATGGACGAGTTTTACTGCATCCGAAACAACAGATGACATCTGGGCAGTGTTTAGATACATTTAAGTCTCCAACATTGCTTTAAACTCTGTAAATAGAAGAAAGGAATTCTTCAAATTAGCGCTAGTTAATGACTTTAGGGTATTTAAGGTCCAATAAATGAATCAAAATCAACCAGTCATCATCCTAAGTGGGACATTTAAAGTGTTTAAGTTGATTCTCCTCTTGAAGTAATTGCTGAACGCCACATGGCGGAAGATTACTGACATGACTTATGTCAAATGTCGCAGTGAATCCGATCTCGCAAAATCTGCTCGTCCGTAGCCGGGGTGTTGTGGCCGGAGTTAGTAAGTGTTTCCAAAATTGAACCATAGGGGTTTTTAAGTAGCTGTTCCAACGGTAGCTGTTCTTTCTGTTCTTTTGCGTTCAACTGTGGCGTAGGTGTGACATCAGCTTATCCGTCAATGGTCGAGTTTTAAAAAATGTTTATTACTGCACGTTCACCGAAGTAAACGCGACTAAGGTGTTATCGGCAAGCTTATGCTAAAATCGGTCATGATCGTAACCTTGGAAGATCGTGTGATATCCGTCTGGTTATTTTCATCGGTTGTAAGATAGTTCAAACTCGAATTTCATTCCATCTTCTCTGTTTTACACCAGCCATATAATTCAGTTTTTTGGTGCCATTTTATGGAGCCTTTTTAGCTTTCGAAAAATACTACTCAACCAAAAGTAGTAGTGCTGAGTAAAGATGATAACTGACGTCAGGACGCAGTTGCACCTACCTTCATAAGTAACTTTTCCGTCTCCATCTTGGTCAGCTTCAGCGAGCATGGATTCGATTTCGGAATCTGAAACAGGTTTTGTGGAAAATTGTACCAACGGAGTAATATTTTTCTTCCAGGAAAATGAATTTTAAAGCGATGTTGCGTCATAACGAATTGCATTAACCTCACCTGATCTATCTTCCTCTTGTTCTCATACTAACTCACCATAAACCTGGAAATCCGAAACTCAGTTTTGTGCTCACTAAAGTTGCCTCCAAACGCCTCAATAGGGCTGGGTATGGACACCTCTAGAGATGGGTCCACAGATACTCCAAAATCACCAGTTCTTAGAAGCCCGTGTTGTAAAAGTCCTACTCACCGCCTTCGTTTTACGGGTGCCAAACGCCTTGAATGGGTCGTCAAACCACTAGCTTTCTGTTTGAGGGATGTGACCAAATATCGAATTCACATCACTCACAGATGGTGTACAGACACTCATTTCTACGTAAGCCTTCGCATTATTGGGCCTGCGATCGCAAAGGATGTTAATCACCTTTAGGAATGTGGTTGAGGGGCGTAGAAGATATCCAGGAGGCTCAGAGACACAACACGCCACCACAATAGCCAAACCATTCGTTCTACTGTTTTATGGGATAGGCTGCTGATCAACAACCCAACGCACAGTCATGACAAGCTTGTTGTATTGGTTTTCTACGACAACCTGAAATGACCTTGAGAGAGACTGAAGTATCTGCTGGTGCTAATTTTGTAGGTGTGGTGGAGACAAGCCTAGTTGGGAGCGTATCATGAGGTAGCCCAAAAGGTAGTTCAGTAAATTCTCTGAGATCGGCGAATGCGCATTACCGGATGTGGAACATGTGTATGTTTCTGTGGATTTCTGTAGCGATCCACCTTTTAAACTGTCGCCCTCCACCGTGTTGCTTGTTACAAGCCTCTCAATGGTGTCTGTCTCTAAATTAAGGTCCTTTCACTTGCCCCCGGCCAGTCGATAAGTCCCCAATTGGGGCAGCATTCAGTCCGTATACTCTACTAACGGGTTCTTTGTTTGTCCAGAATACGACCATCTATTTTCGCTAATGGGCTGGTTTGTTAAGCGCCCTAAGGAGGTGACAAATTGGAATACTGTAAAGTCTTCTCCATTCCTCTCGACCAATATCGGTTCTAAGCAAACAAGCCCATGGGCCGGAACGCCCAGGCTGAAGTGCGATAAGACTGACACTCAACTACGGGCGCCCTGGTCAAAGTTCTCCAACTGGTTAATTTGATTCCAAAGGGGACTTCAAGTGCTAGGCTGCAGGAATATCAGAAGTCGATGGAATGATTGTCCACGGGAAATACCTGGTTGAAAAGAACTCTCTGGGGTTCGGGGAGAAAGTCCCTTCCGGCAGATCGTTCCTTACTAAGAAATTTTGGAAACACACGCTTTCCATTATAGTTGGTAAAGTTGATTCCGGAACTAAAGTGATCTCGCTGTCTTGTCTTCGAAGGAAATCAGTGGCTGACGACATAACCTGCTTCCTGCAATTGATCCTAGCGGATTAAGAGAAATGACGGTAGGTTTTTGTCATCTGAAACTTATTGGCTGAAAAGTGACTCTTGGCATTCTCCGTGGATTCTTTCCTGGAGATTAACATAAAATCAGAAGAGCTACTGAAGACATTACAGACCGACTAAAAAACGTTAAGACATGTTCGAATTGTGGAGTTCTGTGTGGTGAAGAAAGCACTGCGGACCAAATGGCGGCTAAGCGCTCTGTGTTCCTTAGCGTAGAGTAGTTGACTGCTCTAAAGGTAAGTAGTACCAGGTACAAATTCGATTAAATCCAGGCTTTGGTGAGTGGAATCGACGTCAAATTGCCGGAGCTCACTGAGACTTGCTTATCTTCGGATATCCTCGAATCGGAAATCCAATTGCTTGGTGAACTGCTCACCAGAGCTAGTCGTCCTGGGGTGAAGGTTGTAGGTGATGTTCTCCCCTACCGGAGAGAAACTTTGAAGGCTGTCCTGTGTTTCGCCATTCGTAGTGGACAGGAATCAGTCATTCCGGGCTTGATTTACAGAGGCACAATAGCCACAGGGACTGGCGTTCTAATCACAAGCAGGCGTCACGGCATTAGTGATGGCTGCCTGGTTGCCCGAGATCTGTGCTATCCTGAAACTGACTGAGACTTGCTTCGTTGGGACACACCATCAACACATTTTGACGCCCCCTACCTATGAATACATCAATGTCCCACATACTATACAATGCCCATTTTCCAACGGTCTTCCAAGGATCGTCGGAAGGCTTTATTTGTTTATTCCGGGAGAGATGGAATCTCTGCGATCGTTGCTTGCTCAAAGGTACGATAAAGCATGAGATCAAAGCGGGAGACGTTTGAGAATTAACTGGCGGAAACACTCTAATGTAGACTGAAGCCATCGGTACCAATGTTAAGCCGTAACATCTTTTCGGTGCCTAGCTTCCAGGCCACCCGAAAGGAGCACCAGGGTCCCCATACTGCCAGGTTGTCCAATCTGAGACAGGAGAAGTTGAGATGCAGAGGTCGGGTTCGAGCCGCAGACCTTTCGGTCGGTGAATTCGCGCTCTAACCACTGAACCATCTCGCTTCTTTAGTCCAAAATTTTCATTTGGTTACATAAAACAAGTACTAAAGCTGGAAACGGTAACATTTCGCTCTCTTATAAGGATACGTGTACTGTAAACCATGACAAACGTACCAAAGCCTAATGCTCCACTCACATTCAACGTTTTATCAGAAGCGCCCCAACGAGAGAACTTACAAAACTATTTGGGCAAAATGACCCGTTCTAGATCAAGCAATAATTGCGGGACCATTGGAAGCCTGCTTCCAATATTTGGCCCGAATGCTTCTCCAGACCTTAACACCTAGTCGACTTTAATGTCGCACCCATCAGTCACATTCGCGGGCAATCTCGTAGGGAAGTAGGCTGCCTGCTGGCTAGGATCTTTGGATTGTGAAACCTATTCATCTAGTTAGGACCCAGAGGACCATAGATCATGTGTTTTTGACCCAGATTCTCTGAAAGTTACGGGAGAAACAGCGGAATACACCCCTTGAGTACATTTGCGACAAACTTGTGAGGGTTTCGTAAGTTTCAGTTTTGCGAGGATGTTTTTAACCTAGTCTCTTGATGAAGGCGAACGCCTTAACGTCACCCTCAAAAACTCTGATAAAGTGTTTAAGTAGCCACGGACAGCTCTTGCTAACGTTTCGGTATTAGGAAGTGCCTAGAAAGCCTCTTTCGTGGAATGCGGTGCGAAAAACACTTGTTTCTAACCAATGATTTCGCGTATTGAAGTCCCGCAAGGCTCGGTCCTTGGGCCTAATCTAGCCAAATCGTTTATCAGCGGATTTCCCATTGTTCTGAATTGCGACGGTTTACTGTACGTTGGTGATGAGAAGATGCGGGCTGAAATATCCGTTACTGAGCAGACAGCAAAGCCTTCCATTAACCGTAAAAATGCCATTTTATCCTGATCTATGCGTCTGAACCTTCTGGTAGCTGAAAATCTTTTGGGTTTTAGCGAAGTACACTCATATGCAAACAAATCCGGTTCTTCGGGAGAATCACCCGGAACCCAGCTGGATCTGATGATGTTTTTTAAGCAAGAATTTTCAGCAACCTTACGAGTAGTGTATTACGTTTCTTTGGGATTTGTTTCGAAGCTCAACAAAAGAAAAAACCTGTGCATCATAATGTCCCATGACCTCAAAATACCCAGGACACACTGAAGGAGATCGCTGATGTTACCAATGTGATTAAGTAAATCAGATGGCCCTTCAGTCGAATAACCCCTCAGATTTCTGGTGAACCCACAATTCCGTCCAATTCTTCATTATGAGTTGCCGGTAGTCTTTAGACTGATCAAATATGAGAGCAGTAAACTACAGTGGGCTCGAACACGCGGCAGGAAACCTATACAGCTGCCGTGTTTATTCTGTCAGATTCATCTTTAATAAATGTGATTGTTCCACCGGTGTAATGACAGATTCTGCTGATGAGAAACGCGAGTAGTATGTGGTTTCATCGAATCTACGCCTAGCGTCTAATGGAAGGTGCACCCCATGGGGTTTATTACAGAACCTGTGGAACTGCTTTGCAGTGTTCGCTTACAACTGCTTGACAGTGAATGAATATCCACGGAAGTTCAGGAAGACGCACGATAATACTCCGTTTTTAAATACTATGTGCATATAAGACGTTTGCTTTTCCGTCTAATAGTTTATAACCGTTTAGTTGGTGTTTGTCGACAGACAAACCCCTGGCGAAGGGCTTTCTTCCATCAACTGGTGCTGCCGCCGTCTCACTGCAGACCTAATACATGCGTAGCCATATCCTGCAATGGATGCTTTGTGAGAAGAAAAATGCATGAGAAACGGCATAAGGCGGTGAAATTACCCATGTGGTGAACGACTGGAACGATAATAAAAAAGTAATTGTTCAGCTGTAATACCCTTTCGGTGCCCAGCTACCATGCCACTGGAAGGATGAGATATTGCCAGGTTCCCCAAGCCCAAATAGCGGAAGTCGAGAGGCAGAGGTCGGGTCGGACCTTCAGGTCAGTAAATCCACTCTCTGACCACTGTGACCACTGAGCCACCTCGCCTGAAATGGGTCTACTCAAAGGGTTGATTCTAAAAAAGCGAATAAATTTGAACTTCGTCTGTCACGGATGCCACTCTTGCCATTGTGGCCACTCCTCTCCAGGGGGACGATCAATAAAAAGGACCTAGTGGTAATGGTCGGGAAACGAAGGAGCTAACAAGGAACTACTTTCTATATGTTCACGAATCCATGAAGGTCGCAATAACCCAAAACACTGGATGCCCTAAAAATCAATGTGGGCCTTTCTGAGATTATGCTTCAAGTCCTTAACCTAATCGTACTTCGCTCGCTATCTAGAGCTCACAAACACATCAGCTACATAGCCAAGCCGTCAAACCAATCCTTCGTTGAGTGGACGCAAGTTCTTTCTGGAATTTGCACCGTGAGAATAATGGCTTCTTCCAGAGAAAACGGAGGAAAATTGGAACTCAGATGCCCAGTCCTCACTGCGACCCATGCACCAACCATCCAGAACGTTGGAAAAGCGATTTCTACCGTCAGTGAAATATAATTCATGTAGCACAGAGAACAAAGATTTTAACACTAGCCGGAGAGACAAACGTACGGATTGGCAGGCGGAGTAACGTGAGGGTGTCGCCATCTGTCGAAACCCTCCGTGAAGACTACAGAAAACATGTACTGTAAATACAGAATCAAGGATGCTCCCATGTATTCTATGTAAGCCACGAGATATGGCCGGACGTTCAAGTTTTACATATCCATGTCAGTCACACCAACGTTCGACAGATTAGTTTATTGAATGGGTAGATCCGTGACATTCCCAGGAAGGTTCTAAAGCAAACTTAATGAGTGGCAGAAAAACAGCGGCCATTAAACGAAGTGTGGAAATACCGTGCGTGGCGTGGTCGGCAGGGCTAATCGGTGGAATTGTCGGTAAGAAAGGGTCTGGGAATTGAATATCAGTATAAAAACAACGCTTACATCGGCAGCAACACTATGAAAGGTGTCTGAGCTGTTGAATGAGTTGCGGCATTTGGCCGGACACGCAAACATGTACCGGTAACCTGGCAGTCTCAAGTTGGCGGGAAAGTTACTCGTGAAAAGAACAGGCCTTTATTAGTTCACAAGATCAGATAATCTATTAACGGATAATCACCTGGCTATGATGGTGTAGTGGTCTGACAAGTCAACATCGTGGCCGCAAACACACACGAGTTTTAACCCCAGCTGCTGATACTCTTCACAGAATCTTCCGCCGTTAGCCGTTGGCCACAGAAGCAGAAAAATGTATGAATTGTTTTAAAAGCATTGCAGTTAACGGCTGGGTGATGTGAAATTCCATGAAAGACACAACGACACTGTCTAACTTCGGTAGATGAGGACAAGAGAACCCGAGATAAAACAGTGGATAATGTTCACATCATTCACACCTTTGTAAGGAGGGCCTGAGGTCAAGTTGTAAGTTCTGCGCCCTCATTTACCAGCTGTACTCCAGAACTATGCGGTTCGCGTAATCTATATAGGCTAACCTGGGATTAGTTCAGTGCCGCTGTTTGCTGGGGTGTTTATTGTATCTCCGACGATATGCCCAATGGCAAATTTGTTCGGGAACGGGACATCACTCTTTTCCTTAGAATGAGACACTAAAGAATCGTGGTACCTACTTGTGCAGACTGAATAGAGAAAACGGCCGGTTGCTCTACTTTTCACTACACAATTCCACAAGATGCTCCGTCGGTCTTGATGATTCGCTCAGATCATCCAGTCAACCGATTTTTCTACGAGAGCGTCACGCACGGAATTGATTTAGAGGTGCGGGTGATATCTAATCGAACAAAATTGGTTCACACCTTTGTAAGGAGGGCCTGAGGTCAAGTTGTAAGTTCTGCGCCCTCATTTACCAGCTGTACTCCAGAACTATGCGGTTCGCGTAATCTATATAGGCTAACCTGGGATTAGTTCAGTGCCGCTGTTTGCTGGGGTGTTTATTGTATCTCCGACGATATGCCCAATGGCAAATTTGTTCGGGAACGGGACATCACTCTTTTCCTTAGAATGAGACACTAAAGAATCGTGGTACCTACTTGTGCAGACTGAATAGAGAAAACGGCCGGTTGCTCTACTTTTCACTACACAATTCCACAAGGCAGCTGAATTGACGGCGTGATGTCAGACAGCATAAGGGTGGTTGGTCATTGGTAATTCCGATGGAGTTCCAACAACTGTGAACTGTGGCTAAAGTCCAGGCAGTGGCCTAGTTTCTCCCATCGAGGGTATCGTCCAAGATTTGTGGTGAATCACGAAAGGATACTTCTGCAAGCAGTTTAGCCACAGCCTTCATCAAGATGAGTCTTCAACGATACCCATATTTCAGGTGCTGGTAGTTGTGGGATTTTGTAGAATACATACATACATGACCACCGTTTGAGCAATCGTCCTCCTGTCCTTCCTTAGATGGATCCACACCAAAGGGATGGGGGAAGCACGGGAATCGAGTTTCGCTCTTATTGGAGCTCATCATCAGTGCATATCCAGTGACCGTGTCGGGGTTCGAACTCCGCACATCTGATATGCGAGGCCAGCGTGTTATCACTTCCACCAGCGCACACTGCACTCATCCGAATTACATACTCACATGACCACCGTTTGAGCAATCGTCCTCCTGTCCTTCCTTAGATGGATCCACACCAAAGGGATGGGGGAAGCACGGGAATCGAGTTTCGCTCTTATTGGAGCTCATCATCAGTGCATATCCAGTGACCGTGTCGGGGTTCGAACTCCGCACATCTGATATGCGAGGCCAGCGTGTTATCACTTCCACCAGCGCACACTGCACTCATCCGAATTTTTACGTTTAAACGGGTGAGCATGTTCGCACTGGAGTTATGTAAGCGCCTCGAACGACGACCCAGTAACATACCCTGGCTGTGTCGATCCCCCCAGTAGTCCAATTTTATCCATTTACGATCTCGGCGCTTATGTCGGCTAGATTTCACTACATTAGAATTGTAAGACATGATTGACTTTATTCACGAGACTGAATAAGATCATCAGAAGACACTCTTCTCCGTATGCTACAATGTAGCATACTCGTATACGCAGGAAAGCCCTTCGCCGAGAAGCGGTTTATTAGCAAACACCAACTAAACAGTTGCAAACTACTGGACAAGGAAGTAAACGCCTAATTTGCGCCTTGTTTTAAAATACTGAACATCCTCACGCTTCTTCTTGAACTTTCGTGGATATTTACTGACTACCACACATTTGTAAACGAACGCGGCAAATCGGTTCCACAAGTTCCGTAATAAACTCCACCTTTCATTATATGCGAGACGGAGTTGCGGTAAAACCGCATACTACTCGCATGCTTCATCAGTAGTATCCAACGTGACACCCGTATGTACAATAAACGCGTGACATGTAGAATACGGATGGACATATAATTGGAAACTCAAAATCTGAAAATGAGGTGAGGGTTGTGAGACATTACACCACCTCATTCTAGAGGACCAGAGTTAAACCAGCTACCTTTTGAATGCCTAATTATGATAACACTACCAAGAGTCGTGAAAAAATGGGTCAAGCGGCTGATGGCGAACACATTTGAGGAAGAGCTGATGCTTGGCCATGATGTATTAAGCGTGACGTGATCAGAGAGGCTTCACTGCTACCAGTTACGACATCCGTGTTCTGGTCTGCCTGGAACATCTTTGAGGCACTTATTCTTCTGCACGCGTTTCGAGCCTGAGTTCAGTTCTTCCTTTACCGTAAGCGCCGGTGAATGAACAGACACGATTCGATTTTGGGGTCGATTTTCTGGACGTTTTGATCAGACATACTGTCAGTCTGTATCCCGAATGGCTGAGTATTCGAACTACTGTAAGCCACTGCTTGGAGTTTACCGATTGGAAAGTACCTACTGAATTTCTGTTATATGCCCACTGCCAATGATTCCGAGTGAGGATGTACGCCACTTCTCGGTTGTTCACGACAAATTTGATCATTTGTTGTGCAAAATCTCCGTTAAAATTCTCGAGCCTCTGCATATTACCAACAGTAATATGTTCTATTATCTAAGTGTCATAAGGAATATTTATTATATTGAATTTCACTTATAAAAAAACTCGAAGAAACGTGTTTTGGGATCGATCACATGAAATACAGATTTAACTGCTAAAGTGCTGGTAAGGTTTCCTACAGTGTGAAGATATGACTGATTCACGTGTAAGTAGCACGTATCAATGGATAAGCGTTGAAACACGTGTTTTTCATACTTTGGACGGTCGGATATTACACCGTAGTATTTTTGATTTTGTTCGCGAATGATAAGCTTTAGCAACAATAAATGTTTATCAAACTGAAGGCTGGTCTCGTCACTTTTATACTATCCTGTTTAGACCGAATGAGTGCCCGAAAAAGGCCTCCACTTTTTAGGGGTTCATTTTATATGCAATCGGGTCTCCGATAGCGTCTTCCGTATGGACGTAGAACCAAATTCAGTTTATTAACTATTTTTAAGACACCAGTGGTCGAACCACTGTTAATTGGTGAATCTGTCCAGGATATTGGCCTTTGGGAAATTATCGAATGGAACCCATCAAGAGTCTTTCAGAGATGTGAAACTCAGAATTCGTTGCTCGTGGAATTATATCCCCCATAGAACCGAATGTGGATTGGCCGGCTGACTAGCAGGACACTCACGTTCATCGAGCACAGTGACCGTTTATCTTCAAAGGGTCTCCAAAGACATAGTCAGACTACTCACCTGTGTACTTGTGTCCAATACGCTGCATCACTTCACTCAATTCAAGTTTTGTTATAAATCCATCCTTGTCCTGGAACAAAAAACGCACATAAAACTCAGCAGTATGGACTTGATAACTAGGAGACAGTAGCATGGTGCAAAGGTAAAGCATATGTCTTCTGAGTATTAAGGCAGTTATGGAGTGTCCAACCTTTAAAACACACAAACGATGCACAGGGAGCAACCATTGATCAAGAGAGTGTATATTCCAAGCCTTTATTGCATTTGACCAGGTGTAAGCTGAGACAGAGACTAAATTTCACTAAAAGAGAGTAGCTGACTTGAACGGAGCCCAATCATCCTACTGAAAGTTGCTTAAAGGCGATGAGTATTCAGGTTGGGTGCACATTCGTCTGAGAATCCCCTGAAAGCACTGCCACAAGGGAAAACTCGCATGTAGTAAAAAGCAAGCATAATGAACGAGGACTACTTGGTGCTTCGTGTTTACCTTGATGCACCAGAATGGCTTATAGGCCAAAGTACGACAGGGAAAAAACTAACTTCAAGCGTCGGTGATACTGACATCAGGAATGACGATAAGGTCAATTCGCTCGGTACCTAACTGCCATGCCACCAGAAATAAACACAAGGGCTGGGATACCGCCAGGTTACCCAAGCCTTAACAGGGGAAGTCGAGATGCAAAGATCGGGTTCGAACCACGGACTTTCCGGTCAGTAAATTCGCGATCTTACCAATGAACCATCTTATCTTGCCTCGAAAAGCTGGGAAGAGGCCTGATATGCTGTCAAAATATGTTGAGTTTTGAGTATTCTAAAAAGGCACATGCCAAATGTAATGTAACAGTCGTTAACGGCAAAACCTTATAGACTATGTCGATAAACAATAAAGAATTCAGTAGATCAGTGTGGATGAAGTGGACAAAGTGAATTGCGTATGGAATTCTCATGGAGGTCAGAACTATGAAAGATCCGTTGTGTTTCCTGACTTAACATTTCGAAAAAGCAACCAAGTAACCGAAAGTCCTCGCTCCATTGTTTTGACGGTAAGCAGTACATCTGAATCGGAAGTGCTTGAATGCGTGGATTCAGGAAATGTCATGCGTGAAGTAGGCTGATTCAAACCACTCAAACTGTCTCATATTATGCTAGATTAGAAAAAAGGAATCCAAAATTTCTCGAATAAGGTGTTGCTGGCTGCGGACATTGTGAAATTCACGCTCAGATACCTCTTCTAGATGCCAAGTCCACACCAAAGCGGACTCCATCTTTGCTCTTAACAGCCGTCTCCGGGTTTGAAGTCAGGACATCTGACATGTGAGTTGAATGTCCTGCCACTGAAAGGAAGAGGACCTTCGCTGCGGAGCTTTTTATTAGGGAATGCCAACTGACCAGTTACAGACTATCGGACAGAAAGGCAAAACTCTCATACGCATCATAGTTACAAAAACTGAACATCCATCTTCTCTTGAACGCATTTTTCTGGACTTCCCTGGATATTCATTGAGTGTTGCTCAAGTCCAAGCAAAAGCTACAAAGCGAGTCCACAAATCCGCAGTAGATCTCCCTTTTCAAGCGAATTTACAAGAAGAGAACATACTACTCGCAAGCCTCCCCATCATAGTATCACCGTTACATCACTACTCTATCAGCACACGCTGTGGACGCGTTCGAATTTTTGCATCCGAACGGAGGAGCATGTTTACGCCAGAGCGATGTGATTGGCTCACCCCACAGCTTAAGCGACGACTGCCCCGGTTGTGTTGCTCGACCGATGAGCCTGTCCAGAGTTCCCAGCCAGGAAGAGTCACGGACGCCTTAAAATCTGTTGCACAATTTTTGTTTGGTGGTTCCTGATTGCGCGATTCGTAACAACTACAGCTAATCAAAAATTGTATAGAATTTTT